GCAACCTTCGGGTGGCATCGTTGTGGCACTGCAGGAGGCCCAGGATGGACATGTCGTCTGTGGAGTGGGAGGGGGAGTTGAAATGGTTCGCGACTGGGAGGTGCAGTTGTTTATTGCGAACTGAGCGTAGGTGTTCTGCAAAGCGGTCCCCAAGCCTCCGCTTGGTTTCCCCGATGTGGAGGAGGCCACAATGGGAACAGCGGATACAGTATACCACATTAGCAGATGTGCAGGTGAACATCTGCTTGGTGTGGAAAATCTTCTTGGGGCCTGGGATGGGGGTGAGGGGGGAGGTGTAGGGGCAGGTGTAGCAGGTTGCAGGGAAAAATGCCGTGTGAGGTGGGGCTGGAGGGGAGTGTGGAGCGGATAAGGGATTTCAGATGTTTGTTTAAACTCTGCTTAACTTAAATGTCATGAATTTTCTTTTAACAAAAAATGCATGTTTATATTTTCTGACCTTAGTTTTTCCTTTAGGAACATAATAAATTCCTGAAGCTCGCAGGAGAAAGTATCGACGTTTCCATGACTTCTTTCCATCTTCTTTTACACAGAGGGCTCCTTCAAGCTCTGGTACAATGACTGATGTTCCGCAGAAACATTCCTGTGCGCACAGATAAATTTAGTTTATGTGACGGGAAACATTAAACTTCTAAAGTACGTTTTTATAAAACTAATAAACATGAATTACAGGCGGGTCAGATGCTCAAAGTGGGATAAATTAATGGGCTATAATTCTCTGCGAAGCTGAGCAGTCACATTTATTAAAATGATACAATCAGGAAACTGAGATACCTGAAATTGAAAAGTCTGAGCTAACTTTATAGGATATGCTTCTTACAACATCTGAACCAGAAAGATTTCAAGTTGAAATTCCAGTTGTGCCAAATTCATCAGGACAAAATTAGCCTTAGAGTCTTTGGACTCGTAAAGAGGATTGTTAGCACCTTAAGCTATATAAAATAAGTAAATATATAACCTCCTTCTGTTTCTAATGAAGAGAGATGTCCATGGTTCTTTCTGGATTATGGTTAATACCTCATTGATCATGTTGAAGGACTATCTATTCAGTGTCATGGCAGTGTCACAGTATCACAATGTTAATTAAAAGAAATTATGCTCTGAATTATAGGGCTCTTCTTAAGTTTAAAAACCCCAACAGTTTAATCAGCTTTGTTATTGTGTGCAACAAAGGATTTAAAACAGATTGCAGGCAGGGTATATAGTATACTTCAGCAAAGGAAAGCGTTCTTTCATCTACCACTTATTTTAAAGCATGCTATTCAACCTCAGCATATTATATATTCATTTCATCCTGTTCGCTTATGAAAAGAAAAGCTTTTGGCTGCTGTATGCTGTAACCTGGAATTTTATTTTGGTACTCGTTAATCTCACACATAAAATAAATAAATAACTTTTATATTGCACCTTTCACGACCACAGCAAGTCCTATTGCTTGACTGCCAAAGAAGTAGTTTTGTCATAGCACCAACTCCGGCAGAAAAAGCAATAACATCTTTAGAAAAACATGGGAGGAACTGATAAAAACCAAAAGAACTGTGGATGCTGTAAATCAGGAATGAAAACAGAAGTTGCTGGAAAAGCTCAGCAGGTCTGGCAGCATCTGTGAAGAAAATATTAGAGTTAACGTTTCGGGTCCGGTGACCCTTCCTCAGAACTGATGGTGGCTGGGAAAATGTCGGTTGGAATGCAGAAAATAGGGAGGGAGATGGGGTAGGGAGTAAACAATAGGATAGAACCCGAAGAGAGAGAAGAGCAGTTGGATAGATAAAGGAGTTGATAATGATCTGGCTGGGAGGGTGAATAGTTGTTAATGGGGACTATTAGTGACTAACAACAGGTAGTGTGTAATGGCAGGCTATGTGGTAACAGGGCCTGGTGTGTGGGGTAGGGAGCTGGGACATGGGAGAGTTTAGGCCCTAAAATTATTGAATTTGATATTGAGTCCGGAGGGCTGCAGGGTCTCAAAGTGGAAAATGAGGTGTTGTTCTTCCAGCTTGTGTTGAGCTTCGCTGGAACACTGTAGCAAACCAGAGACGGAGATGTTGGCCAGGGAGCAGGGTAGTGTGTTAAAGTGGTAGGCAGTTAGCTAAGGGTCTTTCTTGCAAGCAGAACGTAGATGTTCTGCAAAGCAGTCACCCAGTCTATGCTTTGTTTCCCCAAGTAGAGGAGACCACATTGTGAGCAGCCAATGCAGTAGACCAGATTCTGGGAAGTGCAGGTGAAGTGTTGCTTCACCTGGAAAGTTTGTTTGGGCCCTTGGATACTGAAGAGGGAGGAGGTAAATGGGCAGGTGTTACACCTTCGCCGGTTGCAGGGAAGGTGCCGAGGGGTTGGGGGTGTAGGGGGTGAAGGAAGAGTGGACCAGGGTGTCCAGGAGGGGATGGTCCCTGTGGAAAGTGGACAAGGGAGGAAAAAGGAACAGATAACACAGTGTGGAGCTGGAAGAACACAGCAGGCCAGGCAGCATCAGAGGAGCAGGAAAGTTGACGTTTCGGGTCAGGACCCTTTTTCAGAAATGGGGAGGGGGAAGGGAGCTCAGAAATAAGTAGAGAAAGGAGAGGTGAGGCTGGGGAAGGTAGGTGGGATGATGATAGGTGAGAGCAGGTAGGCACTGGTGGGGATTGGTCAGTGACGTGGGAAGAGCGGATAGGTGGGAGAGAAGATGGACAGTTTGTGTCAGGTCAAGGCGGCGGGAATGAGAGGGAGGGTTGGTCATGGGATGAGGCCAAGGGTGGGGAGATTTTGAAACTGGTAAAATCCACATTTAGGCCATTGGGCTGTAGGCTCCCAAGGCGGAATATGAGGTGCTGCTCCTCCAGTTTCCGGGTGGCATCATTGTGACACTGGAGGAGGCCCAGGATGTACAGGAAGTCCAGGGAGTGGGAGGGGGAGTTGAAATGGTTTGTGACTGGGAGGTGTCGTCATTTTGCGCAAACAGAGCACAGATGCTCTACAAAGCAGTTTCTGAGCCTCCACTTGATCTCACCGATGTAGAGGAGGCAACATCGGGAGAGGCGGATGCAGCAGACCACATTGACGGATGTGCAAGTGAACCTCTGTCTGATGTGGAAGGTTTGTTTGGTGCCTTGAATGGAGATGAGGTGGGAGGTATAGAGCAGGTGTCGCACCTCCTACGGTTGCAGGGAAAAGTGCCGGGGGTGGTGGAGCTAGTAGGGAGTGTGGAGAGGACGAGGAGTTGCAGAGAGAATGGTTTCTATGGAAGGCAGATAGGGGTGGGGAGGGAAATATATCTTTAGTTGTGGGGTCGGATTGTAGGTGGTTGAAGTGGTGGAGAATGATACGTTGAATCCGGAGGTTAATGGGGTGATATGTGAGGACAAGGGGGATTCTGTCTTTGTTTTCGTTGCAGAGAGGAGATGTGAGGGCAGAGGTGCGGGAAATGTAAGAGATGAGGTCGAGAGCATTTTCGACAATCGAAGGGGGGAAGTTGCGATCCTTGAAATAAGAGGACATCTGGGATGTTCGGGAGTGGAACGCCTCATCTTGGGAGCAGACATGGCAGAGGCAGAGGATTTGGGAGTAGGGGATCGCATTCTTGCAGGAAGGTGGGTGAGAGGGTGTGTAGTCCAGATAGCTGTGGGAGTCGGTGGGCTTGAAATAGATGTTGGTTTTGAGGTGGTCACCAGAGATGGAGATAGAGAGGTCCAGGAAGGAGAGAGAGGTATCAGAGATGGTCCAGGTGGACTTGAGGTTGGGATGAAAGGTGTTAGTGAAGTTGATGAACTGTTCAAGCTCCTCGTGGGAGCACAAGGCGGCACCGATACAGTCATCAATGCAGCGAAGAAAGAGGTGGGGGATGTGGCCAGTGTAGCTGTGGAAAAGGGACTGTTCCACGTATCCTTCAAAGAGGCAGGCATAGCTTTGGCCATTTGGGTTCCCATGGGCACCCCCTTAGCCTGTAAGAAGTGGGAGGAGTTAAAGGAGAAGTTGTTAAGGGTGAGGAGGAGTTCGGTTATGCCGATGAAGGTGTCGCTGGAGAAGGATTGGTTGAGCCTACGGGAGACGAAGAAGCGGAGGGCTTTTAGGCCATCCACGTGGGGAATGCAAGTGTACAGGGATTGGATGTCCATAGTGAAGATGACGTGTTGGGGGCCAGGGAATTGGAAGTCTTGGAGGAGGTGGATGGCATGGGTGGTGTCCCAGACATGGGTGGGGAGTTCTTGGTCCAGGGGGGAGAAAACAGAGTCAAGGTAGGCAGAGATAAGTTCACTGGGGCAGGAGAAAGCGGAGACAATGGGTCGACCAGAGCAGTCAGGTTTGTGGATTTTGGGAAGGAGACAGAAAAGGGTGGTGCAGGGTTGGGGAACGATGAGGTTGGAGGCTGTGGCTGGGGATCACCTGAGGTGATGAGATTGTGAATGGTTTAAGAGATGATGTTTTGGTGGTCAGGGATGGGATCATGATCCCACCTTTGACCACCTTCCCCCCTTCAGTGGTCGAAAATGCTCTCAACCTCATCTCTTACGTTTCCCGCACCTCTGCCCTCACATTCCCTCCCACCAACAAAAACAAAGACAGAATTCCCCTTGTCCTCATCACCCCACAAACCTCCGTATCCAATGTGTCATTTTCCGCCACTTCCGCCACCTACAATCTGACCCCACAACCAAAGATATATTTCTCTCCCCACCCCTATCTGCCTTCTGTAGGGACTGCTCTCTCCACGACTCCCTCGTCAGCTCCACACTCCCCAGTCACCCCACCACCCCGGCACTTTACCCTGCAACCGCAGGAAGTGTTACACCTGCCCCTACACCTCCCCCCTCACCTCCAATCAAGGCATCAAACAAACCTTCCACATCAGACAGATGTTCACTTGCACATCCATCAATGTGGTCTACAGCATCCACTGCTCTTGATGTGGCCTCCTCTACATCAGTGAGACCAAGTGTAGACTCTGAGACTGCTTTGTAGAGCGTCTGCGCTCTGTTCGCGACAAACAACACCTTCCAGTCGTGGACCATTTCAACTCCGCCTCCCACTCCCTGGGTGACATGTCCACCCTGGGCCTCCTCCAGTGTCACAATGACCCCACCTGGAAACTGGAGAGCAGCACCTCATATTCTGCCTTGGGAGCCTACAGTCATATGGCCTAAATGTGGATTTTACCACTTTCAAAATCTCCCCACCTCCGGCCTCATCACATGACCAACCCTCCCTCTCATTCCCGCCTCCTTGACCTGACACAACCTGTCCATCTTCTCTCCCACCTATCCATCCCCTCCTACCTCACTAACCAATCCCCACCAGTGCCTACCTGCGTTCACCTATCACTATCCCACTACCTTCCCCAGCCTCACTCCTCCTCTATCTATTTATTTCTGAGCTCCCTTCCCCCTCCCCATTTCTGAAAAAGGGTCCCGACCCGAAACGTCAACTTTCGTGCTCCTCTGATGCTGCCTGGCCTGCTGTGTTCTTCCAGCTCCACACTGTGTTATCTCTGACTCCAGCATCAGCAGTTCTTACTATGTCTGAGGGAAGGGGAATATATGTCATGTTGTGGCACCTCAATGGAGGTGGCGGAAATGGCATCTGATGTGATGATAGGTAGGGACAAGG